GAGGAGGAGGTGATGGGGAGGAGGAGGAGGTGGCAGCAGTAGTGTCAGCCTGCAGCAACACACAGAGCTCAAACATGAATTACGAGTGAACTGCATCCAGCCCCTGCCTGGAGCATGTGGCAGCCCCAGACCTGCCCCTTCTGACCAGACTGGAGGCTGAGAGGGAGCCTACAGGGGGTGGAGGGGGCAATCCCTTGATCCTGGTTGACAATCAGTGCCTCCCACCCCTGTACTGTATTGTCCTGCTATTCTAAGTGGCTTTTGTCTTCTAATTCTTCTTGGTTTGGAGCTAAGCATGTCTCCCTCAAGGCGCCCAGCTGGGGGTGGCTGGATTTTTTAAGAATACCCTACTCCCTATCCTCTGTCCTTCCTTGTCCTCTGCTGTCATCTTCTAACCTCAATAGTGACTGTGTGCTTGTCTGATCAGTTCTGTGTCAATACTGTGGAGCCCACCCCTCTTCCCCAGTTCTCCTCTTGGAGGCACTCAGAGGCAGAACCAGCAATGGAGCATCACTTAAAAAAAAAAAAAAGACACAATAAAAGCTAATTAAAAACAAACAAAAACATTCTTAAAATATGCTCTTGTACTACTTTGTATAAGCATCTGTTTTAGAGATTCCAAGAATTTGGCTTGAGGGCCAGCCCACCACCACTCCCTGGCCATGTGACCTTGGGCAATTTCTTTGAGTGTGTTACTTTATGGAAGGGACACAGTGTCTCACTGGATCTTGTTGGGCCTCAACAAACTAAACTCAGGTAAAATCCTTGTCACAGTGTCTGGTTTATAGCAATTCCCCTACTACATCATTCCAGCACCCAGGCACAGCTACTGAAAGAACCAATTAGAAAAATCGAGAACATGTTGAGTTGAAAAAAAAAGAAAAGAAAAGAAAAACACCAGTCTGCAAAACTGGAATAGGAATATGATCCCTTTTGTGAAAAAATTATTTTTATCTCTCCATCTACATCTAAGCATCATGAGCTCTCTGGAATGATCGTCATCCAAATGTTGTAGAAATTTCTGTAGTATAATTTTTTTTTGCTTTTCTTTTAGGTGTGTATTTTTTTTCCTTAGCAGAATCTTTTTTTTTTTTAAGGAAAACCCTTTGGAAAACAATATAGTAATTCATGGCAAGGATCATTAAAGTACACATACCCTTTAACCCTGCTATCTCCTTCTGAGGAAATAATCCAAATGAAGGAAGCAATGATATCCATGAAAACATCCTGTAGCGTTATTCATCACGGGAAAAACTGAGCAAGCATGTAAGTGACTTACATTAGGGTAATGATTACTAAATGATTCACTCACTGGAACACTATTCAACAATTAAGAAGAAAAAGATGACCACTATGGCCCACAATGGAGAATTGCTTGTGAAAATTGAGAAGCCAAAGGGGCACGGTACAAAAATTAGACCCGTGCCCGGATACTCAGCAAACATATGACTTGCCCTGGAAGCACGGGAAGGAAAGATGGGCAAATAAAAACAGTGTGAGTATTACCGTGGTTTTTATTTTCATTTACAATTCTGCCTAATGTTTCCATTGTATTGCTTGTCTATAATAGTTGAAAAGTCAGCCTTAAAGTTCCCCTCAGGGAAAAGGAAGACAGCAGAACTAGAGATCTGGGATCTTCTACTGGGTTCTAGGTAACTAACTATGCATGCCGGTACATATAGTATTTATATGAGGTACAGTGTAAATTCTGTTTAAAGAAATCAAAGAGTTCACTCAATGGAGCAATTGACGCCCAGAGTTTAGGAAGACTCAATATTGTCACCAAGTCAGTTCTGTTTTAGTTAGGGGTTTTGGTCCCATATAGCCCATGCCATCATCCAAAATGCTATGTTGCTGAAGCTGAGCTTGAACTCATGAGGTCCCTGGCTTCATTTCCTTTGAGTGCAAGGACTTCGGGTGTTGGATACCTGCCAGGCTTATTCCACACTGGGGATTACATCAGTGTATTCGAGTCAAGCCTCTAATACCTGAGCTCCATCCTCAGCATATCCACAGAATTGTAACAGTGGTAAATCGTCATTCTCTCAGTGTTGGATATAGAACTCACGGCTGCCACATGCTAGGCAAGCACTCTACCATTGAGCCGCAAGACCACACCCAGCCTAGCAACGGTTAGTATTTGAATTCTGGGACCACAGCCTGAATCTGACAGCTTAGTCTTAATTGTGCTGTACTATCTGCAAATATACTAACTACACAGCAAATTTCTCTTTCAGTTCATCTCCCATGCCTAGCTGCTCCTCTGTCCACCATCAGCTCCACTCTGGGACCAGACTACCATGGCAGTCTTTCTGTGTGCACAGGGCAGGTCCCTGTGCCAGAGGGACACACAGACAATGATCTACCCATTACTTCTTACAACTGGGGCTAGGCTCATCTCATGCTCCTTCTTGGGTTTCTAGGATCTCACCGACTCCAAGCAGTAGTAGCCAACACTGAGCAGTTATACAACTCAGTCCTTTCACTCTGCGGCTTTCTTTGCTGAATCAAGCAAAAGAGAATGCATTTCTGTTCCAGGAAATGGATGGCGCCACAGAAAAGGGCCAGAGTAAAATGGATCTTTATCATTAGAGCTGCTCAAAGATGGGGTGCTTGAGTGTTGTATCTGCAAGTACACTATCTGCAGATTCAATAAATTCCCCATGGAGAATTTCCAGGGGAAAACCGTTTCTGTGCTGAACACCTACATATATTCTTCCTTGTCATTATGCCCTAAACAATGCAGTCTACTATTTAGACATATTTACTTTTAATTAGAAATTACCTTTGAGGGGGAAAAAGGTTTATGAGTGTTTGCTTGCTAGTATGTGCACCACACGCATGCCTGGTGCCTGCAGAGGCCAGGAGAGGGCACCAGATCCCCCTAGAACTTGTCGAGTCAGCCATGACCTGAGTGCTAGGAACCCAACCCAAGTCCTGTGCAAAAGCACCAACTACTCTTACCTGATGAGCTATCACCCCGGCAACACCCACACACCTTTTAAAAAATTACATTTATTTATTTGGGGTGTCTGTGCATACCATGGCTCTTGTGGGGGTTAGAGGACAACTTGCAGAAGACAGCTCTTTCCTACCTTGTAGGTTCTGGGGCTCAAACTAGGATTGTTGGGCTTGATGACAAGTACCTTTACCCACTGAGACATCTCAACAGCCTATTTACAGATTTATACTGCATTAGGTATTACATGCAACCTAGAGATGATTTAAATATAGGAGAAGAGGCCAGGCATGGTGGGACATGCCTGTAAATACTAGCATTTCAAAGGTGGAGGCAACAGAATCCCAAGTTAAAGCTTACTTTCAGCTACAGAGAGCTCAAGGCCAGATTACATGAGACCCTGCCGAGTAACACAAAACAATATTGAGAAGAACAGCCGAAGCCCCAGATGGAAGATTACCCATTCGATGGGCAAGCCATGGAAGGCTCCCACTCCCACATTGCCATGTGGGGACGAAACCAACCTCTTGTCCCCACCCCAGGATGGAAGGTGGGTGAAGACAGTCTTCAGGGTTTTCCCAACTGGACCCATGTTTGGAGCCTTGAGGAAGCATTCACCAGCTAATTCCTGGGCCCCACCTCTAGGAGGTTCTGATTCATGTGGAAAGGGTGGGACCAGGCTGAGTCATGGAAGGTGACTGGGGCCACTCTGATCTGGCCCTGGCTCCCATCCAGTCCCTACACATGCTCCCTGAGGTGCCTCAGTAGGGAGGACCCAGACATCTCAAGTGGCACAAGCCCTGGCAGTTAGGAGAAACCCGAGTGGCCGCAGTTTATCTGATGGAACACCTCCCCTAGTGCTGTGCTAGCTTCTTGAATATCAAGATCAGGGGAAGGCCCGGGCAGGGACCCTTGAGCAGCACAGGCCACCCACCAGCTGCTCTGAGCCTAGGCTGTCCAGGGCCCTAGGGGTACAAGAATTGGTACAAAAAACAAAATGTCCTTCCTTCTTTCCCTCCTTCCTCCCTCCTTCCCTCCTTTCCTCCCTCCCTCCCTTCCTTCTTTCCTTTTCTTCCTTCCTTCCTTTCAGACCCACAAAACCAAGTGCCCCTAGGTTCCCACAGCTGTCTGTAACACCTTAAGCAGCAACCCCAAGGTTTATCTCTCTGAACATCTGTCAACATGGCACCAAGCTCCCTGAGAGCACGGACAGGTCTTATTGCTCTGTTCATGCCCAGTACAGTACTTGGCACACCACTGGTGTCAGACCAATAGTTCATGAATAAAGGAGAGGGAGTAACAGTTACCATGGGGTCAAAGCAGGACTGGCATTCACACCTACCAGCACATGGGAAAAACACGTGCTTACTCCTATGAGGTGGGGGACCCCATTCTTCATCATCCACTAGAGTCCAGCATGCTTCCATCTGCAGGGTTTCTACATCACTTCTGGCATGGGGGTACCCCTTGCCACGATAAGGAATCAGTTAGAGAGAGCCCTGGGCTGAGGAGGACGGAGCTCAGTGAAGGAGGATTGCTTTAAATCTAGAGGGCCTGTCTTACAGCCCCAGCACAGTGAAACAAACCATGACCACACACACACACACACACACACACACACACACACACACACTCACACCACACAAGAAACCATGGGTCACACACACATACACACACGCGCACACGCACGCGCACATGCACGAGCACGAGCACGAGCATGGCATACAATTTCCAGGTGTAGAGTTAAAGGCTGGGAGTGGCTCAAGGAGAGACACTTTGGTTTGTCTTTGGGGTAAGAGATTTATTAAGAAAGGAATTAATGCCATGGACACACTATGGGCAGCAGCACAGTGTGGGCTCTCCGAAGCATTCAGGCCCCAGTGCTATGGGCACACAGACGACATGACGGGGACTCTGAAGAGAATTCAAGTTCCCCAAGGAAGAGTTGTGGGGGGTCCCTTCCTATAGGTCTCAGAAGAAGGGGGAGGTTTCATGTAACCAGGCTATCTCTGACTCCCCTGCTGCCTGCAGGGGAAGAGAAGTGTGTGTGGGGGTCTTGCATTGCCAGGAAGGAACATGCCACTTTGAAGAGAAGGTCACGTCTAGTTGAAGCACACCCATTATGACAGTCCTCCCATGTCCAGGGAGTATGACAACCCAAAGTCTACAGGGTGGGGTTGGGGTTCACAGGCTTGTCATTTCTATCATATAACGAGGTTGCTGCAGGGAAGCATGGCCTGAGTAGCAATCTGATCTGGATTCTATCAGCCCACAAAGAAAGAAAGAAAGAAAGGAAGGAAGAAAGAAAGAAAGAAACCGAGGCTTAGTTCAGCAAGTGACCAATTGTCCGGCTTGAGCAAGGCCATACATCTGATTCCCAGCTTTACAACAATAACAAAGGAAAGCTCCTTTTTAAAAAGATTTTTTTTATTATGTATACAACATTTCTGCTTCCATATATATCTGCACACCAGAAGAGGGCACCAGATCTCATAACAGATGGTTGTGAGCCACCATGTGGTTGCTGGGAATTGAACTCAGGCCCTCTGGAAGAGCAGCCGGTGCTCTAAACCTCTGAGCCATCTCTCCAGCCCGGAAAGGTGATTTTAGTTGAACTCGAATTCAACCCGGCCATTATTGAATTTGGAAGGAATAATAGAATCAGAAACCAATACTTTTCAATCTTCAATTTAAGAAATGATTTGGTAGCTCGACAGTAGTGACACATGCCTTTAATCCCAGCATTCAGGAGGCAGAGACAGGTGGATCTCTGTGAGTTCAAGGCCAGCCTGCTCTATAGAGCAGCCAGGGCCATACAGAGAAACTCTGTCATGAAAATCTAATAAATAAATAAATGAATTAATTAAAGTATTTTTTAAAAAGTTGAACTCGATGCATGACTTTATTTATGGACTAAATAAATGAATGGAAAAAAAAAGAAAGCAGGCTAAGCAAGCCATGGGAAACATGTTAGTAAGCAACACTCTTCCATGGCCTCTGCTGCTTCAGTTCCTTCTTCCAGGTGCCTGCCTTGCTTGAGATTCTGTCTCGGTCTCCCTTGAGGATGACTGTGATCGGAACCTGTAAGCCAAATAAACCCTTTTCTCTCCAAAAAAAAAAAAAAGTTGAACTCGAATTCAACCCTTAGGAAACAATCAGCCATACCCAGAATATAGGATATATTCTGTACAACAAATGGCCTTGACTAAAAATCTCAAATATGATTTTAAAAAAAAGATTTATTTTTTATGAATATGAGTGTTTTGTCTGCTTGAATGTCCATGTACCACATATGTGCCTGGTACCTGCAGAGGTCAGAAGAGGGTTCCAGATCTCCTGGAATGGGAGTTACAGACAGTAGTGAGCTACCACACGGCTACTGGGAATGGAACCTTGGTCCTCTGGAAGAGCAAACACTGCTCTTACCACTGAGCCATCTCTCCAGCATCTTAAATAATTTTGTAAATATCCCATTCCTATGTTTTTTCTTGTTTAAGACAGCTGGAGGGGATTCAGTTCTACTGAATCATACAAACTAACTCCGGGGCTTTACTCCAGAATGAGGGAGGTTTCTCCAACAGACACAATGCCCTACAGAATGATTTCCAAATATTGCCAACAAAAGCCAGAGTGTGATGAGTACATCCCAGTCACATGCTGATCTGTGGTTCCTGGGATGCTGAGTGGGATACCAGTTCCCAGATCAGGGATGTCCTTTCTTCCAATTCACCGTAGCCATCCCCATGGGGTCAGAGTCAAGCAATAAGGACTTAAAGCAGAGAGGCACTTGTAGGCAGAAGAGGGATGCCCACCATGCTGGCCCAGCCTTCCAAGTCCAACTGGTGTTGCCCTACGTTGCAGGAACAGCTGGTCATCCTCCTGACACAGGTGAGGGAGTCCTGTGCTGCTGCCAGGCCTCCTGGAGTTGAGGCAGGAGGATCAGTAACAGTGAGTCCAGCACAGCTAGACCCTCCCAGGAGCACCGGAGACCCCTAGAAAACCAAGAGGCCTGGGTGTGATGCTTCTTTTACTTCTCTAAGGCCCATTCCTGCCCATGCACCCCTGGGACCACACACAGCCTTCTCTACCCGTCTTTCTTGTTTCTGCCACTTTGTAGAGGGGCACATCCAGTTGAGGCACACACATCACGGCAGCCTTCCCATGCCTAAATCTGTAGTCAGGACTCCTGGGTTCCCACAACACCCCCAACACACCTGTGGTCCAGCAGCAACAAACTCCGTGCCAACAACTCCTTCACCTCCCTGCTTGCTCCGAACACGTCCCACAGGGTCAGCTGGGGCTCAAACTGCTGCCAGTGCTAGGAAACCAGAAGACCCAGGGCAATGGGCTGGCTGAGCCAGGTGGCTGGATACAGAGAGGGGTCAGGGGAAGTCCAGTATGGTGTCAGCAATGAACACCAGGTAGGACAGGTCAATGGGCCAGAGGGAAGATGGGAACTTTCATTCTTACTGCGTGTGGAGGATCAAACCCAGCTTCTGGTGGGGACAAGTCTCTTCTACTCTCTCTGGTTGTCCCCTCAAATGGGCAGTGGCAGTGCCAGGGCTTCACAGCCCAAACTTCATCCACAGTAACTCTGAATCTGATTGTCATTATCTATTACACTTCCCATCCGAAGTTTCAGTGTATTCAAGAGTATTCAGGGGACAGGTGTGGTGGCTCATGCTTTTAATGCCAACATTTGAGAGGCAGAGGCAGGTGGATCTCTCTGAGTTCAAGGTCAGCCTGGTCGACAAATCAAGCTCCAGGACAGCCAGGACTACAGAAACCCTGCCTCAAAAAATCAAAACTAAAACAGAACCACGACTCTGCTGTCCTAGCCTATGGTTCTAACCATTATACAACACTGCCTACTGCTTCCGCTATCAACCCAGAGGATGGAGGGAGTGGGGTTTGGGAAGTGACTGGGTCTCTGACTCTTAGGAGGAGCTGATGAATCTAAGAACCCCCATCCCTTACCTGATGAGTGACCCCCACATCAGTGCGCAGCCCCATAGCCAAAACCTCCTCCAGCCTGCAAGAAAAACCATGGGATCTCAGAGATCTCACGTTGTTTAAACCCAATGCTGAGATGTGATGTTACGTTGAGAACTCCCGCGGTTTGGTCAGAGTGGGCGAGGCAAAGCAGGCAATAAAGATGTAAATGCATGGAGGGGCTTCTGGGGTGTAGGAGGAGACCCTGGGTGAGGAGCCCTGTGTACTCAGGCACTCACAGCTCCAGCTTGCTCAGGGCGACACACTTCCGCGTGCCGTGGCCAAACAGCATCACCTCTTTCATCCAGTTGTCTGGCTCCAGTGTCTGTATCCGTGCTTCCCGGGTGTGGCCTCCAGCTCCCCGGGGCACAAATTGTCCATGGGCTCCTAACAATATCAATAAACAACCATCCCCCACACACATTAATAGACATTAACACGGGGAATTAGCAGGTTTAAATCAGGGTCTTGTCAAAGGGTGGTCCCGGAAGCAACCACTATAAATGTAAACCCTCAGGCGCTGCTCCAGCCCTGCCCATGAGAAGTCCTGGAGGGAGGGCACGGATAGCATTCTGGGTTACAACAAGCTCCCAGGGGCTTCTGATCTACACCACACTCAGAACCACAGCACCAGGCTGCAAAGGCCCGAAGACTGCCATTCAGAGAGGTCCTGTATGCTTTGCATGAGGAAATACAGGCTCCGAGTGGTTAAATGAGGAGTTCAAGTTCACACAACCAGAATGTTCCTCTCCTGAATCATGCTTTCGGTTGTTCACAATCGACTCACCAGGCCCAATGCCAAGGTACTGACCGCACTGCCAGTAAGTCCGGTTGTGGGTACTGAGCGCCCCCTGTGGGAAGGGAGGGAATTGTCAGCACAGAAGAAGGCTACTCTGGCTTCTGTTGAGGGCGTTTGATGAGAATATCCCATCTCAGATCTGAGAGCATCCAACCGGAACCCCTCTCTTCGGAAGACCTCTGTCCCCAGGTCACATATCAGCCCCCTAATTCTGTACCTCCAGTCATCGGCCCAGCACTCACGTTCCGGGCAAAGTTGGAGACCTCATACTGGCGAAAGCCAGCATCTCGAAGGATGGTCCTGCCCTGCTGGTACATCTCAGCAGCCAGGTCCGGGTCAGGGGCTGGGAGGGTGCCCTGCTGCACCTGGGCAAAGAGTGAGGTGCCCCGTTCCAGGGTCAGCTGGTAGAGGGAGAGGTGGTCATCACAGTGGTCCAGCAGTTTCTGAAGTTGTTGAAGCCATGGCTCCACCTTTTGTGCCGGCAGCCCTAGCATCAAATCCACGGATACCCTGCCAGGGAAAAGGCGCCTGGCTTCAGCCAGAGTCCGCAAAGCGTCTCGGGCTGAGTGAGTCCGTCCCAGCATCTGCAGCTCCGTGTCATCCAGGGACTGGGGAGAGAGGGTCGGGTGTAAAAAGGGAGGCAGCAACACTCAGCTTTATTTGGGGCACAGATGTGAGGGACACACAGCACACAGAAGAGGGTGAGAACGTAGGGTGGTCAAGACAGAGGTACCCAGCTGCTCCTCAATGAAGGGTGCCTTTAATCCCTGTAACTCTCTCTTGTTTTGTTTCCTTTTGAGGTAGGGTCTCACTAAAGAGCTCAAGCTGGTTTTGAACTCATGGTAATCCTCCTGCCTCAGCCTCTCGCCTAGCGAGATAACAATTGTGTATCACCACACCCAGACCATGAGTCTCTTAATTTGGATTTACCTGATGTTTCTTCATAATTAGAAGCCAGATGTGGTGGTGCATGTCTGTAAACCCAGGACCTGGGAGGGGGAGGCAGGAGGATCAAGAGTTCAAAGCTGGCCTCAGTAGGATCTAAAACCTTGTCTTTATAAAAAAAAAAAAAAGAAGAAGAAGAAGAAGGAGGATGATGATGATGAGGAGGAGGAGGAGGAGGAGGGAGAGGAGGAGGAGGAGGAGGAGGAGGAAGCATTTTGAACAAGAACATCCAGACATGATGAATCTATCCCCCAAACTCCAGGTGAAGTGGTCTAGCCTGTGGTAAGTGGGGATAGTAGGTATGGCAATACTGGACACTGAAACATCAGAGCCCAACCTGACTCATAAACACATCTTCAGAGGCTCCCCGGTGAGAGAAACCCTAAACTCCCACAAGATCTGAAGGCTTTCAGTCCTGTTTGGCAGCCTTGTCTCCGGTCTCTCCAGTTACAGGGAATGACACAGCTTCCCCCCAAACATGCAAAGTTCTTTCGGATCCTGTGCCCTTTCCTCCCACACCCTCTTACCAGGTGCACACCTTATCTGTCTCACTCACACACCAATCACTTCCTCCAGGAAGGCTTCCAGGATTTCATCTGGCTGGGTGCCCCTCAGGCAGTATTTACCACGCCATGATCCGGCTGCTGGCCTGCCTTCATCTCCAATCATATAACAAGCCCATCCCTGTTTTCTTCCTTCCTTTCTTTGATGTCTGTATGTGTGTAGTGTGCCTTTGTGTTCACACGTGTGTGTGTGTGTGTGTGTGTGTGTGTGAGAGAGAGAGAGAAGAGAGAGAGAGAGAGAGAGAGAGAGAGTGCCTAAGGTTGATATTGGGAGTCTTCCTTAATTTTTTGCTACCTTATTCACTGAATCAAAGCCATAATTAGCTGATACAGTTAAGTCTGGCTAGCCAGCATTAAGCAAGGGGAGAGGAGGACTCCTTTTTTTTTTTTTAAAGATTGTATTTATTTATTATGTATACAACATTCTGCTTCCATGTATATCTGCACACCAGAAGAGGGCACCAGATCTCATAACAGATGGTTGTGAGCCACCATGTGGTTGCTGGGAATTGAACTCAGGACCTCTGGAAGAGCAGCCGGTGCTCTTAACCTCTGAGCCATCTCTCCAGACCGAGGACTCCCTTTATCTGTGTCTCCAAGTGCTGGGACTACAGGCAGGTAGCCACACCCACCCAACACGGGTGTTGGGGATGCAAACTTTGGTCCACATTTGCACAGTAAGCACTCTAACCACTGATCCATGACCCTGTCTAGCACCCACACTCTGCAGCGCCTGCTATGTGGCAGGTACTATATTAAGTGCCCAGAATATAAAAGGGTAAACTAGCTGGGCCCTGTGCCTGTAACCCTAATAGCTGGAAGGGTGGGGCAAAGGGATTGTATGAGTATGAGGCCAACCTGAGCTGCAGTGTGAGTTCTGGTCTCAAAGTAATAATGATATTAATAAGAGCTGGTGGTATAGCTCAGTTTGTAGAATGCTTGCCTAGCATACCCAGGGTTGGATCCCCAGCACCACATAAAGTGGGCATGGTTGCACATGCCTGAAATCCCAATACTAAGAAAATGGAGGAAGAAGAATCAGGAGCTCAAGATCATCCTTGGCTACATATCAAATTTGAGGCTAGCCCGAGCTACAAATGATGGTGTCTCAAAACAACAACAACGACGATGATGATGCCAAAGCCTGCCTCAGGAAGTGCATAGGCCAGTATAGCAACAGACAAAACAGAAGAAAAAAAAAAAAAAGTGTTACTCCATAGTCTACTGTGTACTAGACCTGGTACCCAGAAATGTTTTCCCAATGACTGGATACCACCTAAGGGTCTGGGTGCACCAAGATAGGGTGGGTGAAATAGGTTACCTGCAGACCGATGGACAACCTGTTGATTCCTGCTGCTCCAAAAGCTGCCAGCCTGGAACCTGGGGCTGAAGTGGGGTTAGCCTCCAATGTGACTTCTGAATCTGCAGGCAAATGGGCTTCCTGCGCCACGGCCTCCAAGACAGCAGCCAGAGTGTGAGGACTGGCCAGACTCGGGGTTCCCCCACCAAAGAACACAGAGTCCACCCTGGAGGAAGAGGATGGAGCGGTAAAAACTGGTGAAGCCCCAGAGGACATCCACCTGTCATGTCCTCTCCCCCAACCAAGACCTTTGTCTACTGTCCCGAACACCGACCTTTGCACCCCACTGAGCCGCAGCAGCGTCTGCGCCTCAGTCACCAGGCAGTTCCGCAAGGCGCCCTCCTCCACGCCACGGGGGATGTACTTATTGAAGTTGCAGTAGCTGCAGCGCTTCTCGCAATAGGGCCACTGGGGACAGGGAGAGCGTGTGCGAGCTTAGGGGGGACTCCGGGCTGTCCAAGCCACTTTCAAGATTTATCTCATCCAGTTCCTTTCTGTGCGCCCCTAGGCAGGTGGCGCTGAGATTACTATGCCCACTCCAGTATGACAAAACAGATTCCAAAGGGCCACCCGGCTGGTGAGCACCAGACTCGAGGACTTTGGCCCAAGATTCTTTGCGGTGGATAGGACTTGGGGGACAGACGCTATGCTAGATATGATGTTGGGGCACGCAAAGAGTGCAGTTGGACTAACAACAGTGGGACAAGCGCCTGTCACCGCCACCGCCACCGCCTCCTTCTGCTCGCCCCCGCCCACTCACGTGCACGTAGAGCGCCGCGCGCGTGCTCGCGGACTCAGAACGCCGAGGCTGTCCCAAGCCGTCCACACGAGGGCGCTTCTGGGCCGCCCTGGCCGCGGCCACCCATCTACCGATCCGGACCCGGGAGGGAACCATGGCGAGCAAGGAGTCAGAAGGCAAGGATCCGAGACCTCGACAGCGCGCCAGGGCGCAAGGGTGTGCCCTGGGCTGGGCCGCGTGGGTCGCCCCGGCGGAAGTCAGAGGGGCTGCGTGACCTCGTATTGCCTCTCCCGGAGCGGCTAGAGAGCCCTGGGCCTCTGGTCTGCGGCGCCACCTGCCGGACACTGCCGTACTCACAGCCTATTTTTTCCCAAGGACGCAACCTGTCTGCCCTTTGCCAAGGACAAGGAGAGGGCTGCGGACCTTTTGGCAACCTGTGCTGGGACGACTTTCATGATCTATGCAAGGACTCCCAGTTCTTTCAGTCAGTTACTTATAATGTTGTGTAGCTGGCTCCGATCTGAACGCCGGGAGACATAGGTCTCTGAATTGACTCTTGACTTGGTTTGTCACTCTCATCACACTGTGACCTGATTTTAGGCACCTATGTGTCTGTCATACCTACCCACCCGCCAAGCCACAATCTGTGCTCAGAGCCTGTCTCAAAGAAACAAAAAGAGAGGGGATAGACATCACGGCTCGGCAAGGAACAGACACCTGCCCTGCTGACCTGAATGGTCCCTGGAACACACAAATATGTGTCAGGAGAGAACCTTGCCCACAGAGTGGTCCTTTGACCTCCACAGGTGTGTTGTGTGCACACCGAACTCAGGTGTGCACGCAACACACACACACACACTAAAATAATTATAGCTCGCACAAAGTACACAGACATGCATGCAGGCAAAATACTCAACACATTCTTTTTTTAATTAAGTAAAAACTTTGTTTAAAAAAAAATAAAAAGAAGGGCTGGAGAGATGGCTGAGAGGTTAAGAGCACTGGCTGTTCTTCCAGAGGTCCTGAGTTCAATTCCCAGCAACCACATGGAGGCTCACAACCGTCTATAGTGGGATCTGATGCCCTCTTCTAAAGGCATAAAGGCATACATGCAGATAGAACACTCATACATAAAAATGAATAAATAAATGTTTTTAAAAAAAGAAAGAAAGAAAGAAAGAAAGAAAGCCATGCGTGGTAGGCAGCACAGGCTTATAATCCTAAAACTTAGGAGGTAAAGTCAGGAGAATCAGGAATTCAAGGCCATCTTTGGCTACATAGGGAGCTTGAGCCCAGGCCAGGCCACATGAGATGATGTTTCAAGAAAAGGAAGAGGGCTGGAGAGATGGTGCAGCTGTTAGCTGCTCTTCCTGAGAACCCAGCACCCATATTTCGGCTAACAACCATCTGTAACTCGTCAGATCCAGACTGCCTCGGCGCTTCATACATGTGATGTACAGACATGCAGGCAAAATGCCCATACACATGAAATTTAAAAAAAAATTAAAGGAAGAGACGGAGAGAAAGACAGAAAAGAGAAAGAGGTAAGGATTCCACAGAGTGGGCTGTGGTCTCTGAGTCAGGCAGATCCCTGTCATCTGATGGAAGAGATGGCAGAGATGCTGTGTGCAGGGGGGGGCAGGACCCATGGCAGAGGCTTGGAGGAACTGTCTGCCACAATGGAAGGACCATGGGCTTTGGAGACACTGATTGCAAAGCAGTTCTTACCCCCCTTTCTAGATCCTCAGGAAGGTAACATTCTGGATGTACAGCATCCAGGAGGGACAGGACAGAACAGGCCAAGCTCTCTGTCCTTTTCCCCTCTAGAACAGGGTATCTTCAGTGCATTAGGCCAACAGTATGTGGTCCTAGCGCATACAACTCAGGGCGGGCCACTTCCCCCTCCTTCAGCTGCAGTGCGAGCGGGGCACACACAAACGAGACTCCATCCACACCAGGCAGCTCTCCTGAGCCTGGGGTACCAGCTTCAGTGAGTCCAGCCCTCTTTTCTCTTTTGCTGTCTCTAAGTGATGCACATACCTCATGTAACATGACTGAATGTTCTGTCTGTAGGATTCAGGCAAGGTGATGGCCAGTGCAAAATGAACCTGCTCAGACAGCTGGGTCTAGAAAATTCACATTTTCTGTCAATGAAACTAATGGCTCAGGAGACACAGTGTTGGGAGAAGAAAGCTGGCTTGAGAAATGGCGGTTCAAAATCTCTTAGCTGTCATCTTTCTATTAACCCTACTTGTGGACATTTATGCATTTTCACTTATTGTGTGTGTGTGTGTGTGTGTGTGTGTGTGTGTGTGTGTGTGTGTATACCCATACTACAGGGCTTATGTGAAGAGTAGAAGGCAACCCAAAGGATTTGTCTCCCTGTCAAAGAAGTCAGATCCATGTCTCTATTTAGTGGGTCCCAGAGATCAAACTCAGCGCATTAGGTTTGGTAACAGGTATCTGGCCCACAGAGCCCTCTCTCACTGGTCCCCTTTTATGCATTTTTGAAAGCAGAAAGGGATGCAAACCACAGATGGGTAGACACTTTGTTTAGCCAATGTTAGTGATCACATCAACTATGTGCATCTAAAACAAAACATACATGTTCATAAATTCTGCTTTTCCATATCCAGATTTCATTTTTGTTGTTGTTTTGGGGTGTTTGTTGTTGCTGTTGTTTTTCTAAAATGGTCTCACTATGTAGCCCTGGCTGGCCTGGAACTCACTATGTAGACCAGGCTGGCCTCAAACTCACAGAGATCTCTAGATAACCTTGGTGTCTTGCTCAACAATATAAAGAACACAACATCTGCCAGGAATAGGGACACACAACTGTAATCTCAGCATTTGGGAGGTTGAGACGGGGGATTACCAAGAATTAAAGGTCAGCCTGGGATTCTGTCTCACAAAAAGGAAGAGAGAGAGAGGAGGAATGGAAAGAAAGGAACCACAAGTCAGGGAGAACTGAAGTTGTGCTGGGGAGATTTTCTTAACCCACCAGGTGGCTTCATGTCCTTGGGCAAGAAAGTGAACCTCCCTGTTTGGGGATCACCTCTGTGAAGTGGATTGATGCTTACTTAGAGGGGCTGCCGGGAAGCTTTCAAGAGAGGATGGATGTGAAAGCATCTGGAAGGGCGGCTAGTCCTTAAGAGGAACTTAAACACAACACTCAGCTCTGCAGCAGTAAGGAGGTGCTGGTGCTAAGGCAGCATGCACGCATCGCAGAGCTGCAGACAGGGCAGTCACTGCAGGCATCTCAGAGCTGCAGACAGGGCAGTCACTGCAGGCATCTCAGAGCTGCAGATGGGGCAGTCCCTGCAGGGAGCTGAGCTGCAGATGGGGCAGTTCCTGCAGAGAGCTGAGCTGCAGATGGGGGCATTTCTGTCTCTTCCAAGTGGGAACTGGAGTTGAGGGAAAAACTGAGTAAAGCTTCACTTGATTTTAGTTGCCCGAATTTGTTCAACTTTAAAATGAATAACCATGGACCAGCAAGATGGTTCAGAGAGTAAAACTGCTTGCTGCCCAATGATGCAAGCCTAGTTTGATCCCCAGATCCACATAAAGAAGGAGAGAATGGATTCCAGAAGGTGCAGCTCGGACCTCTCCATGTGTGCTGTGCTATCTTCACCTACACGCCATTCCATTAAACAATTATTTAAAAGCCAATAAAAATAATAAGTAGATCGTTGGGAGCCCTGTATTGTGGCACACACCTATCCTTGTAGCACTTGGGAAGTGGAGGCAGGAGGATCCAGTGTTTAAGAAGCTATCTTGAGCTCCACAAGGAGACTGAGACAAGCTTACTACATGAGACCCTGCCTCAAACAATCAATGAGACTGAAGATGTAGCCTAAGCATGCTTGAGGTTCTGGGTCCCATCCCACTACAAAAGGAAAAAAATCCCACTAACTTTTGGGTCACACAACCAAGTAATATTTGTCATTTGTTTCCCAATAACTTTGCTATAGATGGCACTCTGAATAGCAGTCACTGTTGTCTACATTACTTTTCTGGGGCTGGAAGTTTGCCTTCACTGAAACCCTTGACTCTTTATTTTGGCCTATTCAAGTATCTAGTGGCTGACCTTTGGGCATCAGAGCATACAACACTACCTTAAGACTATGCTGGTGCCACCATCCTTTTTGGATAAGTGACCTGCCAAGAACCATGAAGATTAGCTATTCACAGGCAGGCCACTGGGCTTCACCCCGAGTCTTGTTCCATGTTCTAAACCATTCTGCTTTTCTATTGCTGTTTTGGTTTATTTGAGGCAGAATCCGTGCATTAGAAAAATCCTGGGGGGAGGGCTAGAGAGATGGCTCAGGGGTTAAGAGCACCGACTGTCCTTCCAGAAGTCCTGAGTTCAATTCCCAGCAACCACATGGTGGCTCACAACCATCCGTTATAAGATCTGGTGCCCTCTTCTGGTGTGCAGATGTACATGGAAGCAGAATGTTGTATACATAATAAATAAATAAAGTCTTTAAAAAAAAAAAAGAAAAATCCTAGGTTCATTAATCACAAATTATAGAATAAAATGTGGGTTAGTTGAAAAGGATAAAGAATGTTTCTCTTCCTTTCTTTCTGTTTTTGAACTTGTTTTGGTTGTTGTTTTGCTTTTTCAGAGGTCACTGTGTATGTAGCCCAGGCTAGCCTTGAACTTGCAGCAACCACCTTGCTTCTGTCTTTCTTTTCTTCTTCTTCTTCTTCTTCTTCTTCTTCTTCTTCTTCTTCTTCTTCTTCTTCTTCTTCTCCTCCTCCTCCTCCTCCTCCTCCTCCTCCTCCTCTTCTTTCTCCTCCTCCTTCTCCTCTTCCTCCTCCTCCTCCTCCTCCTTCTCCTTCTTCTTGTATTTGGTACAGGAGAGATGTTCAGTGGTTAAGACCACTTGTTCTTGCAGAGGACCTAAATTCAGTTTCCAGAACCCACATGGAGTTTCATAATCATTTGTAACCCCTGTTCCAGGAGAGCCAACACTTTCTGACCTCCAAGGGCACCAGGAATGTATGAGGTATGCTAACATATGTGCAGGCAAAACACTCATACACATAAAATAAAAGTAAATCAACCAATTTAATGTATACAAGTGTTTTTGCTCCTATGTGTCCGTACATTGTGTGCACACCCTGTAGCCCAGAGTTCAGAAGAGGAACTGGAATTATGGATGGTTGTGAGCCGTCATGTGGGTGCTGGAAAACAAGCCCAGGTCCTCTGCAAGAGCAGCCAGTGCTCTTAATACTGATTCCTCTCTCCAGCCCCTGCAGAATCTCCTTGTGAGGTGATGGCAGTGTTGAAAGTTGGTTTTGGTGATGGTTATACTTATATTCAGATATAAAAATGCTGCAGAAGGGGCCAGAGAGATGGCTCAGCGGTTAAGAGCACTGACTGTTCTTCCAGAGGTCCTGAGTTCAATTTCTGGCAACCACATGGTGGCTCACAACCACCTTGAATGAGATCTGGTGCCCTCTGCTGGCATGCAGACTGAAGACTGTACACATAATAAAATCTTTTTAAAAAATGCTGGAGAAAACCTGCTTTAAAATGGGTGAGCTGAATAGGATGTGAGTTATAGCTCAATAGAGCTGTTAGTTGACAGATTGGTTTTTATTAATTTCCATGTGTCTGTGTAAGTATATATACCATGTGTTGGGGTGTGGGGGTGCCCTCAGAGGCCAAAAGAGGGCATGCAGTCCTGTGGAGCTGGAGGTGAAGGTGGCTGTGAGCTGCCAAGTGTGGGTGATGAGAGTCAAACTCAAATCCCCTGGAAGAGGAGCAAGTCCTCTTAAGCACTGAGCCGTCTCTCCAGCCCTCAAATCTGTTATAAAAAAAAAAAAAAAAACTGAGTCCTTACTGGGCTGGGAGTGTAGGTCTTCAAATAGGGGCTTTAAGATTCCAAGCAAAATGGAAAATACCAATGACAGTTTATGCTGGAGAGAATGCGGAGAAAGAGGAACACTCCTCCACTGCTGGTGGGAGTGCCAACTTGTACAGTCACTGTGGAAATTAGTATGGCGACTCCTCAAGAAAATGGGAATGAGTCTACCACAAGGTACAGCAATTCCACTCCTAGGCATATACCCAAAAGAAGCACATTCATATAACAAGGACATATGTTCAACCATGTTCATAGCAGCATTATTTGTAATAGCCAGAAACTGGAAGCAGCCTAGATGCCCCTCAACCGAAGAATGGATAGAGAAATTGTGGTACATTTACACAATGGAGTACTACTCAGCAGAAAAAAAAAACCAATGGAATCTTCAAATTTGCAGGAAAATGGATGAAACCATTCTGAGCGTGGTAACCCAATCACAAAAAGACAAACATGATATGTACTCACTCATATGTGGACCTGCTTTATGATACACAGTGGTGACCATGCTTTATCAGAGCTGTTTTTAATGATGTTGCTCAGAATGATTTCCTCCCAGATAATGACTGAGAAACTAATTTAAAAAAAAAGAAAAAAATGGTGCCAAGTACCACAAGAGTAACAGAACTGTGCTGTCTTCTGGGATTTTTTTTACTTTTTTGTTGTTGTTTATTTGTTTGTTTGTTTGTTTTTGTTTTCTGTTTTTTAAAAAATGGAGTGTGCTGGATGTCTCTAAAAAAATTTTTTTAAATGACTTACTGAAAAGCTAAATGGTTAATTTATTATAATTTACAAGTTCAAATTTTACTATAAAATACTATAAATCTTTCATATCATAAGATAACATGAGAAAATTTAAAAGATTGTAATAAGCAAAGGAAACAGAAATATTTAATATGCACCACACATCCAATAGCTGATGTTTTTGGTGGCTTTCTAGTGTGCAATTTTGAGTACTTATGAGACATAAAGAATGACATAATGCAATTTTCAGGGATACTAAGAGTCCACAACTAGCCTAAGAGTGTTTGGTTTTTGTTTGTTTTTAGATTTTAAATTTAATTATAAGTTTTCTCCCTTCCATCTCTTCCCTCAAAACCCTCCCATATACCCTTTCCAACTCTCCTTAAAATCTGTGGCTTCTTTTTTCACTAATGATTATTGCATGCATATATGTATTTGTATAGACATTCATATTGCTAAATATAAACTGTTGAGTCAAAAAAAAAAAAAAAAGATTCCAAGCACTGGGGGTGGGAACACAACAACACTTAATCTGTGGACCAGTCTGTGGCAACGATTTGAAAAATGATTAAATGAGTAAAGCTTACCAAAAACAAAAATGGAGGCAGGCACAATGGCACAGGACTTTGATCCCAGCACTCCAAGGGACAGAATGAGATCTCTATGAGTTCAAAACCAGCCTGATTTATGTAGTGAATAACAGTACAACCAGGGCTACGCAGTGAGATCCTGTCTCAAAGAAACACACGTACGTGTGTGCGCGTGCACACAGAGAAAGGAAGAAAAGATAAAGAAAGGTCTTGGGATTTCAAGGGAACAAGGTGAGGCTTAGATTATGTAGATAATGGACAGCAAAGGGCCTGGAGGACAAGAGGTCTGAAGGAGCTGGCTCTCTCCCTGTCTATTCCCTTTTTCACCCCACAGGAACTTCAGAGAGCACACCAATCAGACACTGGCCAAACTGGGAACTCTTTATGCCAAGTCACAAAGATGACAAGGGGCATGAGGAGGGCTCAAGAGAGCCTGAGAGAGCTGGGAGGACCCTCCTTTGTGTGGGAAGGTTGAGGAGGGCCTGGACAGGCTGACAAAAGCCAAGAGGGCTCTCCTTTGTGTGGGCAGGCAGAGGGGCTCTTGAAGGACCCTCCTTTGTGTGGGAGGGCTGGGGGGCTCTGGAAGGACCGTCCTTTGTGCGGGAGGGCTGAGGGGCTCTTGGAGGATCCTCCTTTGTGTGGGAGGGCTGGGGGGCTCTTGGAGGACCCTCCTTTTGTGGGAGGGCTGGGGGGCTCTGGAAGGACCCTCCTTTGTGTGGGAGGGCTGAGGGGCGCTGGGAGGACCCTCCTTTGTGTGGGAGGGCTGAGGGGCGCTGGGAGGACCCTCCTTTGTGTGGGAGGGCTGAGGGGCGCTGGGAGGACCCTCCTTTGTGTGGGAGGGCTGAGGGGCGCTGGGAGGACCCTCCTTTGTGTGGGAGGGCTGAGGGGCGCTGGGAGGACCCTCCTTTGTGTGGGAGGGCTGAGGGGCGCTGGGAGGACCCTCCTTTGTGTGGGAGGGCTGAGGGGCGCTGGGAGGACCCTCCTTTGTGTGGGAGGGCTGAGGGGCGCTGGGAGGACCCTCCTTTGTGTGGGAGGGCTGAGGGGCGCTGGGAGGACCCTCCTTTGTGTGGGAGGGCTGAGGGGCGCTGGGAGGACCCTCCTTTGTGTGGGAGGGCTGAGGGGCGCTGGGAGGACCCTCCTTTGTGTGGGAGGGCTGAGGGGCGCTGGGAGGACCCTCCTTTGTGTGGGAGGGCTGAGGGGCGCTGGGAGGACCCTCCTTTGTGTGGGAGGGCTGAGGGGCGCTGGGAGGACCCTCCTTTGTGTGGGAGGGCTGAGGGGCGCTGGGAGGACCCTCCTTTGTGTGGGAGGGCTGAGGGGCGCTGGGAGGACCCTCCTTTGTGTGGGAGGGCTGGGGGGCTCTGGAAGGACCGTCCTTTGTGTGGGAGGGCTGGGGGGCTCCGGAAGGACCCTCCTTTGTGTGGGAGGGCTGAGGGGCTCTAGAAGGACCGTCCTTTGTGTGGTAAGGCTGAGGGGCTCTGGAAGGACCCTACTTTGTGTGAAAGAGCTGAGGGGCTCTGGAAGGACCCTCCTTTGTGTGGGAGGGCTGAGGGGCTCTGGAAGGACCCTCCTTTGTGTGGGAGGGCTGAGGGGCTCTGGAAGGACCCTCCTTTGCTTCACAGTTTTAGATGTTGTTCCATCTGCTCTCGGAGTCTGAATTTCTGGATCTAGAAGAAAGACAAGAGTGAGAGTCAGCTGCTCCGGTGCCATGGCAACCAACCATACTTGGTTTGCCTGGGAATGACAGTGGGGGAAGGGGACAAGAACTAAACCCAAGAAAGCCCAGGGCAAACCAGGATGAAGTGACTTTTTCACTCTCCTACTGACAGCCTCACCAGCCCACTGTTGAGGGAGGAACAGGTGGGAACACTTGACCTTCTGAAGTGAGGCCCACCAGACCCCACACTGCCCTGCCAGTCTCCTCTACCTTACACACCTTTCCTGAGATGGTGAGAGGATAGTTGTCAACAAACACGATGTATCGGGGAATCTTAAAGTGGGAGATCTGCAGACCAGAGGGGAAATGTGTGAGGCTGGACTAAATCAGAGCACTCCCTTGGCTGGGGAATTGTGTCCATCAGGCAACACCCTCCCCCTCCACCCCTACCAGGGATGATTGACAAGGAGAAGTAGGTGAGTAAGTGAGGGGGGTTGAGGGGGTCCCACCTTCCCTTTGCAGAAAGCTTTGATCTCTTCCTCTGTGGTGGTCTCCCCACTCTTCAGCCGGATGCAAGCACAGATTTCCTCCCCCATCCGCTGGTCCTTCACCCCCACCACCTATCCAAGGTCAAAGACAAGTACCACACTGCAAACCTGGGCTGGCTAATTTTTAATGTCTACTTGACACAGGCTAGTGTCACTTGGAAAGAGAGAATCCTCAAGTAGGAAAATGTCCCCACCAGGTTGACCTTTGGGCAAGCCTATGTTGCGTTTTCTTGGTTGATGATTGACATGGGAGGAGACAGCCTACTGTGGGAGGGGCTAGTGGTTCTGGGGGTTATAAAAAAAGCAGACTGAGCAAGCCATGCAGAGCAAGCCAGTAAGCAGCAGTCCTTCAGTTCCTGCTTCCAGGTTCCTGCCTTGATTGAATTCCAACCCCAACTTCCCTTTGATGATGGACTGTGATACGGAAGTGTAAGATGAAATAAACCCTGTTCCTCCCCAAGTTGCTTTTGGTCATGGGTGTTTCATCACAGCAATAGAAGCCTAAGGCAAACCCCTTCCTATTCATCAGCTAATCCTGGGGTACCACGGGATTCACAGTGCCTCACCTGCACTTCCTGCACCTGAGGGTGTTTGTGGAAGAAGTCCTCCAGCTCTGCAGGGTAGATGTTCTCACCACCCCTGATGATCATGTCCTTAGAACGGCCTACGATCTTGCAGAAGCCCTGCTCATCCATAGTGGCAATGTCTCTGGAAGGAGACACCAGGAGTGACATCTCACCTCTGCTTTAGTGGGCTAGTCCACTCGGTCACAAAACATTTATTGAGCATCTACTGTGTGTCCCCTGCTGCTCTAGACTCTAGGAGTCCCAGCAGGAACAACAACAACAACAACCACACTGTTGAAGCCCATAGCCTAGGCTGAAAGGGGAAAAAAAACAGTACAGCGCCTATCCCACTCTGTCTTCCCGTTTCTAAATTGGCTTGTCCTTATGAATGACTTCTTTTTTAATCAGTTCAAATGTTTCCAGAGGCCTTCTCTGACCCTGGTCTAAGAAAATCCTCTTTCTCTGCCACTGCCACTTCCTCTCCTGTGACCCCATTTGATTTTTTTTGATATCTGAAATTATCTATCTTCTTCCACCAGACATGTGGAAAGAAGCAGGCCCCTTCTCATCTTGCTTCCCACTGTTCCATCAGGTTGAGAATAGCCAGCACTGGCACATAGCAGGTGTGGACCGTGCATGTGCGGATCTGATAAATGACACACCCATGGCTGTGGGATTTAGCTCAGTGGTAGAGCATTTGCCTTGAAAGGGCCTGGGTTCAGGCCTCAGATCCAGGAAGGAAGGAAGGAAGGAAAGAATCAGTCTAGGGGCTGGCGAGATGGCTCAACAGTTACGAGCTCTAGCTGCTGCTCATGTAGAGGTCCCTGTGTTTGATTAGTAAACAACTCACCGAAAACTGGCTCAGATTCTGGGGGTGCAAATGTAGTGTGATGATGTCCTGGTGGTCCCATCACTGTGAGAAGTGGGTTCACCCTGACACGCATTTTGACTTAGGGAAATTTTTTTGGTTGCTTGTTTTGAGACAGGGTCTCATGAGAGTGACCGTGAACTTCTAATGACTCTTGCTTTTACCACCCAAGCACTAAGGTTACAAACATGCACTATCATGCCCAGAGTTAGGTGACACCAGGGGTAGAGCCCAGGGCTCTGTGCATATAAGACAAGCACTCTCCCCCCTGAACTGCATCCACAATCCATTCTTTTTTCCATTATTGGACACAAGGTCTCATGGAACTCAGGTTGGCTCTCAACTCACTGTGCAGCTAAAGATGGCCCTGCTCTCTGCCAAGTGCTGGGATTACAGGCTTGTGCACACTGCCAGTTCAGCCCGGTTCTTTACATGTATTAGGCAAGGACACTAGCAACTAAGATACATCTCCAGCAAGCCCTGGAGGTGTTTCTTGTTCTCCCCCTGCCCTAACATCCCCACACTACTGGGGCTTGTATCTGTGGCCTCACACATGGCATCCAAGAACTCCACCACCAAGACACACCCTCAGACAAATTTTGGAAACCAAGTCTCTAGGACAAGCACATGTCCTCTGTGTGCTAGCTTAGTTTTCCCAGCTCAGCCTCGGAACCCTAGCCCCAATCAGTAGCCGGTGTCCACATCATCTCGCCATCTCACCCTGTCCGATACCACTTGTCTTGTCCAACTGTTTCGAAGGTCTTCTGTGGCTCGCCCCAGTAGCCCTGCATGACGCAGTACCCTCGGATGTACAGCTCCCCTGGCGTGTTCAGCTTGGTCAGCTCCCCTGTCTCCATGTTCACGATCTGGGCCTGAGACAGCAGGTCAGTTTCCGGCTTGAGCCTCCCACTTTCTTGCTTCCCTGAGGATGGGGGGAGCTTTGCTTTCTTTCCCCCCACCCTCCAAGAAATGAAGCTGCTGGCTCTACTCATCCTAGCCCAGAGAAAGGGAAAAGAGGCTAGAATAGACCCTTCGCCATGCAGAGATCCACACAGGGCCTGAACTACGGAGAGGGTATGTGTGTGTGGAGGGGGTGCCACATGCCTTTGAAGTTCCTGCTCTGGCTGTATTTTTACACAGGGTGCTGAGGACGGGGCTGGATAGTGAGCAGCCTCTAAGGAGGCCTGAAGAGTGCCAGGCCAGATGCTGAGCCACTTAGAAGGGAAGGCCATTGTCTCCCCTCACTTCCCACAACGCAGAAAAGAAACTGAAGAGGACAGCATGGCTGTGCCATGTGATCTGGAGTGGGAGAATCCAAAATCCTAGCACACAAAGAGTCACAGCCAATGTGCCAAGGAAAACTGAGTCTGGGTGCTTCCATGTCTGCACTTGGGGATGGGGAGAAAGATGTCTCCCTGTCAAGCCACCGCCGAGTGCATCCCAAAGAGGCCCAGAAACTCGGTGATATCTGAAAAAAGCTACATGGTTGGAGCTAGATAGGAGTCTGAGACTGGGGAGTGTCCTGAGGTCTTTGAAGTGTAAGAAACCTCCAAGGGACAGACAGCTTGGGGAAAAAAGAGTTTATGCTCAGACAAAAGAAAAGCAGGGGTCTGACGGAAGAAAGAGCTGCTTAAGAAAAAAAAATCTCTGTGTTCTGGCTCATTTTTGAGACGGGTCTAGCTGCCCCAAGACAGACAGTGGGCTTGGCAAAAACACACCTCAGACAGGAAGGGTGGCTGAGGAGAGGCTCAGCTGGCGGCTGCTCAGGGCTGCTGTGCCAGTTCTTCCCCTTCCTTGCTTCAACCCACAAAGCCGGGCCAGGTCCAGCAAGCCCCCATTGCTGGGGCCCTCTGTATGCGAGTGAGCTGTTTGGATGTCTGATGGAAAGCCCCAACTGTCCTCAAGTGGTGTGAGGTGGGCTCTGAGGGCATCTGTCAGGGGCTCACCTCTGTGTGAGGCATAATTCTGCCCACACTTTCTGCCTTCTGCTCCAGGGTGTCCTCCGGGTAGTTCATGAAGGTCACGGGACTGTTCTCTGTGGTTCCATAAACAACCTAGAGGGGCCAAAAAGACTGCTTGGAGGGAACTGGGTGACAGCAGAGGGCTGAGATGACCTACCCTGGGTAGCTGAATGGTGAGAACTGGGGTGAGGGGACAAGAGCCAGAGGTCAGGAGCCAGGAGTGCAGATCTCGGCAGGGCCCCTGGTCTGAAACAAACTTGAGAAAAGAAGCCAGTCTCTGGTGGCCAGGGTTCTGTCACTCCCCTGTGGCGCCTGTGGCTCCTGGCATCACCAGTACCCATCCTTCTTTCCTCCCTTCTCCAGGTTGATTCAGCCCTACCTTCTTGATCTCTGGCCACAGCATCCTCTGTCCCTCTCTTCTTAGCCAAAGGCCCCATAAACTTGATGAGAAAGCCAGCCTGCCTTGCTTGATCTAGCTGGGAGTGGTACAGACACACAGATGCGGTTCCCCCCACCCCCAAACCTGGGACAGTGCCTGTTTGTAGGGTGGGTGCCCCGCAAGCTCCGGAGACTTTCCTATGCGTTTCTTTTCATCAAAACAAAAATATAGCCAGAGCAAGAATTTAAAAGGCCTGTGGCACTTCCAGTGGTTAGGACATCCTGTGCAACAGAGAAACTAGCAGCCAGCCTAAATACCATCAGAGAATATTCTAGGCCAAGAATGACTCCCGCCCATTCTAGAAGTAAGGGGTTAGAGGGGCTTGGGGAAGAGCAGGCCTGGAGGCCAAACCTCACAACTATGTGTTGGGTGTAATGAGGTCTAGATACCTTGGACTCTATCAGGTCTCTGTTGGTGGCCTCCACTCCTGTGTATCAGGTAAGTGTGGTTCTGGCATAGTTGGAGTATGGTTTCTCTACCACCTCCCAAAACAGACAGCATCTCTTGCCAGGCATCCCAGAGCTCACCCTGGGCCAAAGCTGTAACCTGCCTGCTCACCCTCCCTTCTCCACAGGCCTCCAGACACTGTGGCGGGCAAGTGAACAGAAGCCTGGTCCACTAGGGCGGGGCTGCCCACAACCTACCATCTGGCCCGGGTTAGTCCCCTGTAGTCAGCACCCCACCTCCCACCGGCTCACACAGTCCTGGGGTCATTGCCCAGGTCTGGCCTCTGCCAAGTACATATTGGCGCCACCAGGCCGCCACTCTGAGACCCCTTTAGGGGTGGGTCCTAACCACGGGGTGGGGGGAGGGGAGGGGAGGATCCCAAGATGGGGATATTTGGGGGAGATTGAGGAGGGGAATGTGGTTGTTTGGTGGCCTGTGGTTTCCAGGTGTGCTGCCAGTCCTGTGGTTCACTCCCCCCACACACACCAGTTCCCACTTTTCTGTTTAGCTTTCAGCCTCAGAAAAGGGGAATGAGGGTGCAAAGGACAGAGTAAGAAGCCCAGAACTAAGAGAGAGGGGTCATGGGAAAGCCCACAACCTGGGCTCCTACAGGCCTGGCGCCACCGCTCAGAGAAGGGGCAGAGGCAAGAGCACCATTGTCAACCAGCATCACCAAACAGCTCTCCCATCTCCTTGGGGTGAACTGAGGAGGGTCTACCCAGAAGTGGGGGCCCCGACCCACAGCGGCTCTCACGCTTCGCCTGCAGGGCACAACAGCCTCATTAAAGCGCCGCAGGCTGGCTGACCGCGGCGAGACGCATCCGGCTGTCGGGCCCCACTTCCTCCCTCCCTGAGTCGAAGGTGACCTGTCTGCCAAGGGTGTATGGGGGAGGGGAATGTGGAGACTCAAACTTGAGCAAATAAATAAGTTCTGGGAACGCCTCCCTCTGCCCAGTGGAAATTCAGAGGTCCTCGACACACCTATTTCCCCACCACCAGGGTGGGGGTCCAGGTAGAGGAGGCTAGAGACAGGTGAAGCATAGAGTTTACGAGCAGAAAGCAACGAGTTGGAGTTCAGGGGAAGGGCCCCCAACACTTTGCATGGTCGCCTGCTGTAGAAAGAGCCCCCAGTCATCAAGGACAGGGGGCGCATTTCTGGGCGGGAGGGGGTTAAATCAGTGGCTTCGATGCTCCACGTAGTAGCTGGCTACGCTGCCAACTGCGGTCAGGGCTGCCCTATAAATGGGCCAGGAGACCCAAGAATCGAGGACTTGCTGCTGCCAGCGCCACGCCGCCGCAGCCCCCTGCCCTGGCTCCAGGCGTCCCAGCCATGGCCCGCGTGCTCTTACTTAGTCTGGGCCTCTTTGCCATCCTCCTGCCGGCGCTGGCCGCCTGCCCCCAGAACTGCCACTGCCATGGAGACCTGCAGCATGTTATCTGTGACAAGGTGGGGCTGCAGAAGATCCCCAAGGTGTCAGAGTCAACCAAATTGCTCAACCTCCAGCGCAACAACTTCCCAGTGCTGGCTGCCAACTCGTTTCGGACCATGCCGAATCTGGTCTCGTTACACTTGCAGCATTGCAACATCCGCGAGGTAGCCACTGGTGCCTTCCGAGGCCTGAAGCAGCTCATCTATCTGTACCTGTCCCACAATGACATTCGGGTGCTGCGAGCTGGAGCCTTTGATGACCTAACTGAACTGACTTACCTCTATCTAGACCACAACAAGGTGTCCGAGCTGCCCCGGGGGCTGCTCTCCCCTCTGGTCAACCTCTTCATCTTGCAGCTCAACAACAACAAAATCCGAGAACTGCGTGCAGGAGCCTTCCAGGGTGCCAAGGACCTGCGTTGGCTCTACCTGTCTGAAAATGCCCTCAGTTCCCTGCAGCCTGGTGCCTTAGATGATGTGGAGAACCTCGCCAAGTTTCACCTGGACAAGAACCAGCTGTCTAGCTACCCCTCTGCTGCCCTGAGCAAACTTCGGGTGGTGGAGGAGCTGAAGCTGTCCCACAACCCTTTGAAGAGTATCCCAGACAACGCCTTCCAGTCCTTTGGCAGATACCTGGAGACCCTGTGGCTAGATAACACCAACCTGGAAAAGGTGAGTGCCCTGACTGCAGTGTTCTTGCTCCTTCTCGGCTGGGATGCCAGCCTAGTCCCTCCTCCTGGACACTTAGCCCACCAATTATTACCAAAGCAAGGTGTCCTGCCACCTTCTCTCAACTTTGACATATCACGACCCCATCCTTCACCTGGTCCCTATGCTTCTCAGCAATGCCCTCTTGGGCCGACTCCTTATAAGAGATGGGCTGTTCTGGTCTCACAAACCGCCTCTGGGGAGGCATCTGCCCCAAACCCCACTGTGAGCAGCAGGCACCTCTTCCTGTTGAGCTTTCCACCCCTCCTCTGGCGTTTTCCCAGTCTCCAGTAAGTCCACCATCCCATAAAGGAAGGTTTGTACACCGAGACACCTTACAGAGAGGCAGATTCAGACTCAGACTCACAAAGGGACCCTGTTCCTGGCAGGGGCCAGCCAGTACGCTAAGGTAAAACAAGGGGCTGGAGGGTGGGGGGGCACATGCCTTTAGGAGACTTCTTCCATACCCTCAGAGCCCCTGATGGATGCCCATCCCCTCTGTGAGTCCAAACACCCAATTTTTCTGCAACCTTAGCTCATTTCAACTGAGTAGGGAAACCGAGGCTTGTAGACCAAAGGTTCTACCAACGTGCAGGTTTGGTGCTCCTGGGGTCGGTGAAGGCATACATGCGATCCTTGACACAAGCCCCAAAGTGTCCCCTCACAGAACAGACTGACTGTCTCACTGTCCCCCAGACAGCTTGTTGAATCTTGTCTTCCCCAGTCACTAGACCCCTGTCCCCTTCCCAGTCCTTCCTGGTGGGGCTATGTAGGAGCAGAATCCCTTTCTTGGAACTAGGAAATCACCCTGGCACAGTTTCAGTCAGGAGGCTTGAGCAGGGACCAGAACAAGATAGAGGACAGTTTTGTTACTAAAAAATGTCACATCCCAACCTAGACTGTGAGAGTGGTCACAGACAGGGAGCTGAGGGCAGAAGCTAACCTGGGCAGAGGCCAACCTTGTCTGGGTAGACAGAGCCTTGTAGGTAGGTTTTCTTCAGCCTGGCCTCACTCCAGCTGAAGGCAGACCACCCTAGTGCCAGATTGGTGGTCACTAGAATAGCATATGGGGGCTGATTTGGAATGGGGAGCCCAGACAGGAACTGTGGCTTCAGGGCTCAGACGAGGGCACCAATACACTTCCTCTCAAGCAGTCCATCCTGGCCAAACTCCCCACCAAGGTAGCTCCACAAATAGCATCTGGCAGAGGGCTGAGGAGCAATGAGGACAGTCCTGGGGGAAATCCTGGGACCCTGGGGATGTGGGGAACCTGGGCTCACTGCCCATCCCACCAAACACTGGCCAGGTTCTCTGTGTGCCAGCCTGGGCTCTCTGAACCAAGCTCTGGCTGCTCCCCAGACCCAGTGTTTGTGCAGGGAGGGTGCTCCCTTGGAGGTGGGGCAGGGCGTGGTCCTGCAGCTACTGTTTACTGGCTAGGTGACCCTGGCCAAAGGCCTGAACATTTTCCATCTGCATATTGAAAGGACACCTTCCATCTCAAAAAGGGTGTTGTGGATTACATCATCTAGACAACTTGGTCGTTCTGCTTGAAAAATTGAAGCTCCTCAACAGACTAATGCTTGTGTCCAGGCTGCTGACCTCTGAGGAGAGTTAGGAGAGCTTGGACACTGGAATTGAGGTTCTCTCACTTCTGCCTTCCTGGCCTCCCAGTTCTCAGATGGTGCCTTCCTGGGTGTAACCACACTGAAACATGTCCATCTGGAGAACAATCGCCTGAACCAATTGCCCTCCACCTTCCCCTTTGACAACCTGGAGACCCTCACTCTCACCAACAACCCGTGGAAATGCACCTGCCAGCTCCGTGGCCTTCGGCGGTGAGCATATTCCTCCATATAACCCCCAGTCTCTCCTTCACATGATGGGTCCCTGCAGCAGGGCAGCCTGAACACACATCCTGGTCGGGGTACCTGGGAGGTCTGGGACTGAGCGGCCGTTTTCTCACTTGTCAAATGAGGATGACAGCTCCAGATTTTTCTAGGACCAAGTCCTGGTCACCAGCCCCTCCCCAAGCATTCCCACTCTTGGTCTCTGCAGGTGGTTGGAAGCCAAGACTTCTCGGCCAGATGCTACCTGCTCCTCACCAGCCAAGGTCAAGGGTCAGCGTATTCGTGACACAGATGCCCTCCGAAGCTGCAAATCCCCCACCAAGAGGTCCAAGAAAGCCGGCCGCCATTAAACAGGTAGGAGTCGGGCAGGGAGGCCACCACTGTCTGCCTTTGGAGATTCCAGCCAGGGTGCTGCTATCTCCGGTGATGCCATTTCTGGAGGGGTGATCAGACCCTCTGTCTTACAGGAAAAGGAGGGGAGAACTGAGTCTCCCTCTCCAAGGGCTTGGCCTAGGATTTCCACCATTCTCTGATGCCATCCGGGTGATTGAAGACCTAACAACCATCCTTCCCTCACTGCAGGTCCTGTCCCAGCTAGTCCTGGTGCCTGCCTTCTGCTGGAGAGACTACTGACATCCCCCCCCCCACCATCCACACTTCTCCCACAGCCCCTGCCAATGCACAGAGCTGCCCACATCTAGACACATCCTGGCAGGGGGCACTGGACTCTGTTACCACCCCAGCTCCACCTAATGGAGGTCCAAGAGAGGACACAGAGCCTCTCCTCAGTCACTATGCCTGGGCCCTGCCATGGCTCCTCTCAGAGAAGCTACTGCAGAACTCCCTACCCTAAGTCCATCAGAGCCAAACTTCAGTGGTCACTGGGATGACCACAGTCCTATAACCACACTCCTCAGTTCCCTCCTTCTCTGCCATTTGGAAGCAAACATCAGGCCTTGGTCCCGCCCTTATTGCCAGAAAGGATTTCAAGCCCATATCCCCAGTCCCTTCCTGCTAGGATGTGTGCTAACAGGGCACCAGTGCTTGGCTGCATATCTTCCATGCTGCATTTCCGCCCCAGGTTTCTATAAACATAAATTTATGTGTGTATAACATTCACTCCCCTCTCACCTTACCAGACGTTAGCTAATAAGCTCACAGTTTTGTCCCACCTCTGCTTCAGGAAGCAGAGAATAACCTGGAGCTTTACCTTTGGGCTTCTAGTCTGGCTTGTCAGTCCCTACTCACTGCAGGTCCAACCTTTCCCGGATGGTACTCTGTCTGGTACTGACAGCCACTCACTCACCACCAGCTCCTTCATGTTCATCTTGTTGATGATGGCTCGGATCAACTCTGGGGGTGCTGGGGACCCGGCAATCACACCTGCATCAGGAAGAGAGGATGATGGGATTAGTGGTCCAGGCCTGTAGTGCCAGCTGCTCGGGAGGCTGAGACAGGAGAATTGCAAGTTCAAAGTCTGACTGGGATACAGAGTGAGTTCAAGACCAGCTTGGGTAGCTTAGTGAGCTCCTGTCTCAAAAACAGTCAGCAAAGGGCTGGGGAGACCGTTCTATCATGGAACATTTGCCTGGCATTCAGGAGGTCCTGGGTTCAATCCTCAGTATCACAGAAAAATAAGAGAGAAAGCCACACATTTTCCTGCTCTTTTAGCCCACTAGACCCCTTTCACCTACTCACATAAGGGGACAGCCCCTGAGGTTGGCCCAGCATCCCGGGACACTTGGGAATTGCACTCCCCCACAACTCACATTCCTACAGCACCTCTTTCTGCACCTTACATAAAAAAGAAAACCTGGCTTCACCAGGGTCCGGGGAAGCAACCTGCCCCAAGCCTTGGTACCTTTGAGCGCACTGCACCTCACCTCCACGTATGGATGAGAAGTCATAACTGGAGAAGTCTGGCTGATTCAGAACATCCACAAACATCGTGGGGGTGCCATACAGGAGGGTGCCTCTGCACAAAGGAAGGCCTCAAGATTAGGCTTAGAAGTGAGAGGGAACCCCTTCCCTCCCCACCGTCAACTCTCAGCGAAGGCCAAAGTTGTGTGGAACAGGAAGAAGCTCAAGGTGGGACCTGGTCCTCTGGTCATAACCCCTCCCATCCCAGGTCTCCTGTCTGGAGGAAGGAAGCATCTCAGAAAAGGGGAGTGGGTCCAGGAGTGAGGATTTGGAGGGTCTCATTAGCCCACAGGTGGCTTGTCCACCAATGCCCACTTCTCTCTGCTGATGGCTTCCAGTGCCTTCTTGCCATTGAAGCTTGGTGAAGACAGGAGGAGGGTAACACCATACATCATAGACACCATTGTGCCCCCCACGGAGCCCAGGCAGTGGTACAGGGGACTGGGCAGGACCAACCGCAACTCTTCTGCAGTCTGGAGATGGAGACAGGAGGCTGGTCTATCATGGAGTCAGTTCTTCCAGCCAGCAGGGGGAGCCCAGCAAGCTGTTCCACTCCTTGCCCCGCTGCTGCTCCCTGCAGCCTGTGTAAACCTCACCAGGCCCATCCCAACCTCACCTTTGTGTGCAACTTCAGCCGCTGGCCTATCAGTTTGGAGTTGTTTACAATGTTGTAGTGGGATAGAGTGGCCCCCTTGGGGCTGCCAGTAGTTCCCTGAGAAGATACGCAAATGACGACAGCTTGACCTTTCCCTCCTTTTCCTTCCCACCTTTGGCCACTGCTCAGTGGAGCTGGGGGGCTAAGAGTCATAAAAGTAGCATCTGGCTGGGCGGTGGTGGTGAATGAGGCAGTGGCAGGCGGATCTCTGTGAGTTCGAGACCAGCCTGGTCTACAAAGAGAGTTCCAGGGCAGGTTGTAAAGCTACACAGAGAAACCCTGACTCGTAAAACCGGGGGGAAAAAAGAAAAAGAAAAAAAGAGTAGGATATGGTTGTCCTGGATCCATCTCGTCCCTCTGTGAGCTGTGCAGGACCAGATGTTAGGGTACAGAAATGCAAAAAAGAACATAACACTGCTGTCTTTGTCCTGTTCACATGTCATATAAGGTAGCTTGGAGGACTCTACCACTAACTAGCTGCACAGGCTCAGAGAAGCTCCCTCTCGGAGCCCGATTCCCTTGAGAGGCTCCATGAGCCCTGCCTCTCTGAGCCCTGGGGACTCTTCTCTATGTTGGAAGCAACAGGACCCAGAAGGGACAAGTAGCAAAAGCACCAGCTGATGATTTTCTGAGGCAGAGAGGAGAGAGAGCAGGAGGCCAGAATCAAGACAGAGTGAGGTTCTCCTGACTTTCTCCACCACCTCCCCATCCCAGGGACCACATGGACAGGGCACAGGTTTCATCTAGGATTGGGACTGGAGACCGCTGTCCTACCGAGGTAAACTGGATATTGATGGAGTCGTGACAGGACAGGAATTGCTGGTGGTACCGCAGCTGGGCCAGATTCTGTTCTTTGCTACCAGCTGCCACCACATCATCCAGAAGCAGGGTCCCGGGCAAAGGGGCATCTACTGAGATGACTGTGGTCAGATCTGGGAGCCTGGGAGATAGAGAGGATGGTGACAAGTGACTAGAAGACAGCCCAGGAAGACATCAGTTCTACTTTGGGTAGGAGTGGGGAGTCTGAGATGTCACTTGATATCCAGCAAACCCAGGACATACCCACCTCTTACTCTTCAAGGCTCCAGGCTGAGCCTTTTCCAGCTCAGGACAGATCTGCTTCAGAATGTTGTAGTACTGCTGGGTTTTGAATTGCTTAGGGAATGCAATGGCTTTGCAGCCTACCTGCGGGAGGAGAAGTCCCCCTACCTATGATCAGCAGGAAGCCTCAGACTTAGGAGCCCTCACTAATCTCTTGCTCTCTTTCTCATATACCTGAATAGCCATCCTGACACATCCATGTAGCAACACACACACACACACACACACACACACACCCCTGATACACTCTACCCCCAACACCCAAATCAGCCCTATGGCTGACCCATACCCTCACTGTGGAGCCAAGACCTCCTCCCAACCATATGCAGCCTGAGGAGAGACACTCTGTAATGTTAGCCACTCTCATCCTCCCATCAGCCTCTCTCTATAAAAACATCATGAGAAATGCCCCTCCCCACCAGGAGCAAGTGGTACCTTTTTGAGGACATATTCCAGTTCTGCGGCCTGGTAGGCTGGGTTCACAGACACCTGGAAGAATAGAGAAGGTATGCCAGTGTCCTGGGCAGATGCTCCGCTCTTTCTCTACTCCCCTCAGAAAGGGCAAGGCAGGATCATACACTCTGCCAGGGCTCTGTGGTGAACCTTGGGTGAAAGCACTTCCAAGCCCAAAGCCAGACAGGTGCAGGATTGGTTCTGTATCTAAGAGGCGTCCCTCAAATGACATTCCTCCACATACCCTGTTGTGCCAGGTAAACCCCTTCTCACCAGTATGATGCCTGCCTGGGCAGTGGCCAACTGTATAAGCACCCATGCATAGGAGTTGGGTCCCCACATGCCCAGCCGGTCGCCCCTGCGGAGGCCAATGCTCAGGAGACCAGAAGCAGCTTTGTCCACCTGGAACAAACAGATGGGGAACAACAGATGAGGTGGGGACAAGCAGGAGGAACCCCTGACTCCTACTCTCTATCTTAGCCCAACGGTCACTAGGAACAAACGGATTGCCAGGCCTCGGTGGACTCAATGCAGTGAAGGTAGGGAGTCGACATAGTAAACAAATATTCCAGAAACCTCTGGAACAGGACACTAGGTCACTTCGGCCTCTGTCTCCTAAGGCTAACAGTGGGGCCCTCAGGAGTTCCCAGTACACTGCCCCACGGGCATGCACCCACTCTCCAGCTCCATTCTACTATAACAGCTAGGGACCAGCAGCTGCTCTTGAAAGGTTCAAGGTCAGTACTTACCTCCTCCTTGAGCTGTGCAAAGTTCAGCCTGATGTTTTCATGGAGGATAACCAAGGCCTCTCTGTTGGGGAACTTCTGTGCTGTGGCATCCAGGCACTCACCCACAGTTGTGTTGACAAGATGGGAGCTGGTGTGGCCCTGGATGTAACTGAGGCCTCCGATGGGCACGGGGTTGGTGCAATTTACTGTTCCAGAACTGTGGAGAGAGAAGCCACCGGTTGGAGTGGTGCCAGGCTGGGCCTCCGTGGCACTAACACTCTGGCACACCTAGCTAATTAGCAGTCCAGCTGTTTACAATAGGTGGGTATATGAGGACCAATAGGTTTTCTCTAGGTTTTTTTTTTTCAGTAGTAAGGTCTAACATGTCCCAGGCTGGCCTCAAATTCACTATGATTTAGCAGAGGATGGCCTGGAGCTTCTGCCTCCACCTCCCGAGTGCTGGGGTTACAGGAATGCACTGGGTCACCCATATTCATTCTCGGCTGGGGTCTGGACTACATCCTTAGGCCCTCTGCAGGTCTTGTACACTTACTATACTCATTTGCTCTCTTTTCTTAACCTCAAGCCTAACCCCAAGCAGCAGGATGGGGACAAGGCCATCTAAGCTGTAGGCAAGGGGCCTCTTGAACCTTCCTGGGAATGATGAAGTGCCCAGGGATGCCTGGGGAACCTGATGCAGAGACAGACAGTTCTCACAAAAAGCTAGCGCACCTGCACCCCAACTCCTTTCTCCTGGAGGGTGATGGTCACTTTGGTTCTTCCTGGGGAACCAATGAAGCCCATGGTGGGACCCAGAGCTGGGAACCAATGCCTTGGGTTTCTTGGCTCCTTAAGGGGCCAGTTTATTTCTTCTGGGTCAGAAGTTCAAAGACAGAATAGGTAAGAGGCTAAGGAACCAGATGGTGGTACTAGGAAAGACGACTGAGAAGCCCGAGTAAGAGGCTGTGTGCTGCTGGTTCTGGTAATGCACACCTGTATGATTTGCCAAAGGAGGAGGAGGCAGGTGGATCATGAGTTCAAGGCCCGCCTGAGCTAGGAGGAAAAAAAAAAAAATGAGGCTGTGTGCCTTGAAATGAAGAGTCCCACACCCCACAGGCAGTGCCCCGAGGCTCCCACTTTCAGATGCTGTGGCAAAACAGAGGCGATTGCATCTAGAAAAGGATGGCAGTGCTTAGACCATATGGTGGCCTCAAGCACCACAGGGCAACAGGCGAAGAGGAGCTGTTGCCCCAATAAGGATGTTCTATGTCAGCCAGGACAGACTGTCCCTAGAAAAGAAACTCCTTCTCCTCCCATCAACCTCAGAAAACAGGTTTCTTTGGCACACACCTGTAATCCTAACACCTGGAAGGATGCTGAGAGGAGGCCAGCCTGAGCTACACATGAGTACCAGGCTAGCCCTGATCATGAAGTATGAGTGAGAATTATGATCATCTGTCCTCAAGGTAAGGCATCTGATAGACAAAGATGTCAAGGGTCACAAAGGATTGGAACAGCTAAGCTGGAAATGGAAGCCAGTGCAACTGCTGAATGTTACTGTCAGGCCTGCTCCGCCTGCCCTTTCTTCTTTGCATTTATCCCAAGTCCAGTTATCAGACAGAATCTAACTTCCGTGTTACTTTTTTCCATACTTCTACCAAGCGACACAGGAGGGTAGGGCAGTATTAAGGGGGAGCTGGCCATTTCTCCAAAGAGTTAAGAGTTCTAGGAACGCAGGGCTGGAGAGATGGCTCAGCAGTTAAAAGCACCTGGCTGCCCTTTCAGAAGTCCTGATTCAATTCCCAGTGCCCACAATTGTCTGGAATCCCAGTTCCAGGGTGTGGTAAGCTGAAAGAAAATCCCCCAAAGAGAGTAACACCATTAGGAGGTGTGACCTTGTTGAATGAAGTGTGTCACTATAGCAGTGGGCCTTGAGGTCCCCTATGCTTAAACTACACCTAGTGTTCGGGTCATTTCCTGTTGCCTTTGGATCAAGATGGAGAACTCTCAGCTCCTTCTCCAGCACCATTTCTGCCTGCACGCTACCATGTCCCACCATGAAGATAATATACAGAACCTCTGGGCTGTAAGAGAGCCACCCCAATTGAATGTTTTCCTAAGAGTTGCTCTGGTCATGGTGTCTCTTCAGAGTAGCAGAAACCCTAAAACACAGGGGATCATTCGCCCTCTTCTGGCCACCACAGACATTGCATGCATGTGGTTTGTAGATAACACAAGCAGGCAAAAACACGCAAAACATAAAAAAACAAAAACATAAAATAATAAATAAATAAAATGTTTTAAAAAAAAAGAGTTCTAGAAACTCATACCAGTATAATTTGCTCATAAACATGGGAACCACCCCAGTCATTTAGCCACTTCAAAGGCCTGAGCATTTTACTTCTCTGCACACACCCTGAACACCTGGCCACAAAGGCAAGCTGCTAAATTTGTGTTTGTTATTGCGGATGGGAAAGGGCCAACAGAGCTGATCAGCCTGTCTCCAATAACTAAAGAAAAGTAACTATGCAGCTTCGCCTGGGATTACAAAACCCCAAGGCCCTCTGTGGCCAGGACCAAAGCCAAGTAGGTGCTGCTGCGACGGGACGAGAGACAAAGCACAACCTAGCCTAAAGGTGCCCTTAGAGAGTTAGCGTGTGGGAACTCAAGTCCAGATCTGTTTTCCTAAGAGAAGCTGCAAAGAAGGAAGTTATAGAAAGAACAACATTCTCTTTACATCTCAATGTTGGCAACTCGTGTGTTCACCCTGCATGCGCAGCCTAAGTGTCTGGAACATATAAAACACCCTAGCAAACAACCAGCTGATCATGGACAGCAGAAGACCCTGCTCCTGAATTCTCAGCACTGAAAAGGAGGAGGAGGACAAAGGGAGGGGGAGGGTGGAGGAGGAGGAAGAGAAGAAGAAGAAGAAGAAGAAGAAGAAGAAGAAGAAGAAGAAGAAGAAGAAGAAGAAGAAGGATTTGCACACGCATCTTTCCAACAAGTATACAACATACAAATTAAAACTGCTACTCTCTCTGAGAGGTTTTGGAGATAATTCAGTCAGGAAATTGCTTACTGTACAAGCATGAAAACCCCAGTTTGATCCTTAGAAACTATGTAAAAAATAAATAAATAAACTGGGTGCACTGGCGGTGGCGCAAGACTTTAATCCCAGCACTTGGGAAGCAGAGGAAGGAGGAGTTCTCTGAGTTCTAGGCCAGCCTGGTCTACAGAGTGAGTTCCAGGACAGCCAGAGCTGCTACACAGAGAAACTTTCTTGGGGGGGGGGGGGGGGAGAAAGAAACAAAAACAAACAAAAGGCAGGGTTCCATGGTATATACTTGCAATCCCAACCCTGGAGAGGTAGAGACAAGATGACTCGGGTTCACTGGCCAGCCAGAGAGCAGCAGGCCAATGAAAGGCTGTCTCAAAAAACCAAAGTCGACAGAGCTGAGACAGAGTGATATTTGAGGTCATCTAGCCTCCACACACATGTTCCTGCACACACCCGCCACACAAACATGTGCATCCTTGCACACACAATTATGATGAGGAATGACTCATTTTTACTGAGAAGGTAGAAAGAAAGAAAAAAAAAAAAACCGACCTGGGTAAGTGCTTGGAAGTGGGAGGGGATTGGGCAGAAACTGGGATCCTCGTCCATTGCTGGGGTGTAAATAGGTTCCACTGTGGGAAATAGGGCGCAGTTCTTCCAAAAGTGAAACATAGAATCACCACCTGACCTAACAATTCTACTTGTGGGAATATACCGCACCCCCCCCCCCAAAAAAACTCAAAACAAGTGTCCAAACTGCTCAGTAAAAACAGCAGAAGACTGGAACTGGGGAGCCAACTCTGCCGAGGAAGTTTTTGTTGTGAAAGAATGAGGCCCTGGATCTGATTTCTCAGCACCCACATAAAAAGCTGGCACTGGGGGCTGGAGAGATGGCTCAGAGGTTAAGAGCACTGACTGCTCTTCCAGAGAGCCAGAGTTCAATTCCCAGCAAAAAAAAGGTGGCTCACAAACATCTGTAATGAGATAATGAGATCTGGTGTGCAAGCATGCATGCAGATAACTGTATACATAATAAATAAATGAAGTAAAAAAAAAAAAACTGGCACTGTGGCTGATGCCTGTAAACCTGGCACTGGGAGAGAGGAGTCAGCCAGGCCACCCAAATCTATGAGCTCCAGATCCAGTGGGAGAGCCAGCCTCAGAAAGATGAGGTGGCTCCGCAGGTAGTCTCTTGCTGCCAAGCCCAATGATCTGAGTTGGATTCCTCGAATCCACATGGTGGAAAGAGAGATCTGACTCCCACAAGCGGTGTTCTGATACATACACACACACACACACACACACACACACACACACACACAGGGTGACCTTTGGGACAGGCATGGAGCTCCGCAGTAAAGAGCTTTCATGCACAAGGCTTTGAGTTTGATTCCTAAGGGTGGGGGTGGGGTAACCTCAAGTAACCCTTTGTTAACTTATCAGTCATTTTTCCATAGTGCCGTATCTGTCCAGCTTTACGAGGAAAGCGGGTTTGAAACAACGCTCACTGTGCTTTTGTTCTTTGTTTTTGCTTTCCTTAGTGCCCTCCCTCTGTTTACACAGCCAGCCTCCTGCCACTCTTCTCAGCTTTACGGAATGTGGTGTCCTAGAAGGGAAAACAGGCTGTGGAGATGGTTAAGTGACAGGCCTAAGCCTGAGGCCGGCTCTGTGGGTAGAGTACTTCCCTAACATGCATGAAGCCCTGGGTTTTATCACACAAACAAAACCTGGTGGCTCAGACCTGTAGTCCCAACACTGGGGAGATAAAAGTAGAGAATCATGCTAGTCCATCCAGGTCATCCTAGGCTGAACTTGGAGTTCGAGGCCAGGCTGGACTTCATGAGATCCTGTCTCATTTATTTAAAAAAAAGAGTAAAACAACATTGCTATAACTTTGTTATGTTTTTTAGTTTTTTCTTTTTCTTTTTTTCTTTACTTAAGTATATGAGTGTTTTACCTACATGTATGTATGTGCATGCATTCTCAATGTCCAAGGAGGTTAGAAGACGGTGACAGTTCCACTGGAACTGGGTTACAAATGGTTGTTAACCTGCCACGTGGGTGCTGGGAATAGAACCCAAGTTTTCTGCCAGAGCAGCAAGTGCTCTTAACTACTGAGCCATATTCAGTCCCTAATCTGGTTCTTTGATAGAACAAAA